GTAGCTCAGCACGGTGGTTGTCTTCAGACCTGGAAGATTAATGTAAGACACTGTACAACAATGTATTACATAACCCCCGTGGCCCTGGCAACGATCATTTTTATATTGTTATATTGTGGCAGCCTGGACTGATTTAAATATTTATCGTTGTCTATAGCTGGAGTTCAGCTTTAAGTATAGTACAGTTACCTAAAACAACAAGAGTAAACAAAATAGGTAAGACTTTAGTTTTACATATTACAATATTTTTTGTGTTATAAATCTAGTGTAGTGTTGTAGTAATGATGGGAGAGTCAGATCACTCTGTAAAGTTTTCTCCAGCACATCCCTAAGATTTACAATGGGGTTAAAGTCTGGACCCTGTGGTGTCCAATCCATCTGTGAAAATGAGGTCTCATGTTCCCTGAACCACTCTTTCACAATTTAAGCCCAATGAATCCTGGCATTGTCACCCTGGAATCTGCCCGTGTCATCAGGGGAGGAAAAAAAAATCCATTGATGAAAAAAACAGGTGATTCAGTACATTCAGGTAGGCTAATTTTCTTGGGGACATAATGTTGCTGAACCTTGACCTTACCAACTGAAGCAACCCCAGGTCATAACACTATATATTTTGCTTAGCTAAATCTAGGTGGTGAATTTTTTGGGGGCCAGGCAGTGTAGTTTTAGCTAAACAGATAACGAAGAGAAATCAGTTAATCAATATCTTACCCAGTCTGCAGTCTTTAAATCCTCAAGGTCAGCGTTACCTCTGTCAGTTGTATCCTTGTCCATTTCCTGGATCTTCTTTAGACTCTGCAGACCAAAAATTTTGTATAAGTAACTTTATGGCAGTAACAGAGCAAAAAGCAATAATGTACAATTTAAAGTCAAAATCCAGGCTCCCTTCCATACAGCACAGCTTGTAGGCATCAGGCAGTAATAAAAGAATGAGTAGAAATTAAAGTTTTCATTACATTAGGTGGTCCAAAAACCCTAAATGATGTACATTAGTTTGCAAAGGCACCATGTATGAAACAACTGCCATGTTTTTCTTGTAATAAATATAATTTTATATTTTTTATCCCCAGGTGATCTCCTTCAGCCCCCTTACAGCCACTTCCATTTTACATGCATTCATTTCAGCAATCGATGCATGTTATTTTTCAGAGCTGGCTTCAAAAGTGGAACATGGCCAATTCATCCCCTCACAGCTACCTCCTCATGTATCACTTCTCCCTCCCTTATAGATTGTAAGCCATCATGGGCAGGGCTGTCCTTAACATCTTGTCTTGAATTGTACTGTGATTGTAATGTCTTCCTTATATTGTAAAGCGCTGCGCAAACTGTTGGCGCTATATAAATCCTGTATCATAATATTATAATAATAATGCCATCAAAAGATCCACTTGCACTCTCCATGAGGAGCATGTGTGACAATGAAGAACAACTTGGAGACAGAGCACAGTCACCCTATGAAAAGAAATGTCTGAACAAGGACCTTTGTTGCAGAATCACCAGGTATTATTGTAATGAAAACTGGAGATTTAGACATCTATGAAAATAGTTTTTAAAATTATATGAACATGTTAAAACTTATGAGATTCAAGTGATTGAGAAGGTAATTAAAGTATGTGTAAACCCAAAGTTTGGGTTATATGATGCAGTACAGCAGCTGCAAAAACTGTGGATGTGTTGGAGCGTAGCTCAAGCATGCCACAGTATCTGCTTGTTGTCACCGCAGTTTTCAAAATGAATTAACCATTCTGCTCACCAATCTTGTGAGCATTCATGGGTGTTCTCTTGTTGGTGGAGTTTTGGGGGAGCCATTAACAACAATTTTATCCATGAACCATGCCAATGCTCAGACTCGATCAACAGACAGCCTCAGTATAAATCAATTGACTCTGCCCTATAAAAAGGGCTCTTAACTATACCGAACCCCCTTCCCATACCAATACTCTGCTACTCATCTTTAAATGTGTATGTTTCTGACCTTTTAAATTCTGCCTACCCTAGGTATTGTTTTGTGACAGGTTTACTTTTAAAATAAAGCACTTCCAGGGCCCTTTGTGACATTTTATTAGCTTTCAAATTGCTGTAATTCATAATCTATCCCTATTCTGTATGCAGTAAAAATGAGGGTGCACATTTGCTGCTACTTTAGACTGGTATTAATAATGGAAATGTAAAAAGCAGCAAGCCTCCTCTGCACCTGTGCTTCTGTTTCGGTAAAATGTTATCTGGATGTTAGCCATCAATAACCATAATAAATGTGTGTTTTGTGTTCTAATGCCAAGATTCACACTTTAGCAACCAGAAGAACAAAGTACTTGCCCTGAGGGAAATTTCACTATATGGAAAGATGTTTTGCATATTCTCGGTTTACTTTTCAAAAAACACAGCCGTATAAGATAGTGAATTAAAATGTTTTACACATTCATGGTTTCATCACATTACATGCGTTTTCATGCATGATGCTATTGTCTAGGACAGAAAATAGGCATCGGCCAGGAAATAATTCATTGTTTTCAATGAAGATCATGAAGATCAGATCCACTAATTTGTGATATATCAGTTTGCTGGGGAAATATGCACATAAAAATGTAATGCATCGGAAAGGCATTTCATTTCATGTCAAAAGAACATACAATCTTCCTTTTATTGGTGGCTTTAGTTTAAGGCAATAACTGCAGTTAGACTTATTAGATTGTAAGCCCTCACGGGCAGGGCCCTCCTTACCATTTTGTCTTGAATTGAATTGTAATTGTCATGTCTTCCTTATATTGTAAAGCGCTGCACAAATTATTGGAGCTATATAAATCCTGTATAATAATAACAACAATAATAAGAAGAAGAATTTGACAGGCTCCCCATTTTTCGGTACCTAGGAGGGATTTCTGCTTATGCAGTTCAGTTATCGTAGGAGTCGGTTTCCTCAACCGAGTTGGAAAAAATGGACCTTTTGGATGGGTTTGATACTCGACTGTGTTTGATACTCGACTGTGTTGTGCTGTGTTCTTTATTTTTAAGACTGACTTTGTGTTTTCTTTGTTCTGTTTTACTCTTATGTTTCTGTTCTTGTTTTTATATATCAAAATTGTTCTATGCTTAAATAAAGAATTAAAAAAACAAAAACCGTACAAGAACATTTTATAACGGAGTAGTCACATTAGGGCTTAGCAGGAACATGAATAATCAGTCTAATATTATAACTGGACAGGCTTACTTATGAAGAATTTATATCTCCCCTTTATTTGGGTTTACTTTTTTTTGTCTAAGAGTGCATTCAAACCAGTGGCTGTGTGTTATGGTGTTTGTTAGCTGTCACACTGCTAATGTGCCGATCATGGTGTGTTGTGCTTTTGCCTTTTTTTTCTTTTTCGTTAGAACTTTATTGAAATGTCATAAGAGACATTTCATTAGGTTCTATTGGCATAACAATGTGCAACGCGGTTGTACTAGTGGCCATCTGCACTGAAAAAGTATTGCATGCAGTACTTTCTTCTCAGTGCACACCACCGAAAATTGCCTTGTCTTGCATTGGGACTGCACTGAAAAAAACAGCCAGAGCAGCCCCAATGCATTTGGTGTGAATCAGCCCTCAGCCTTACACTTTACCTGGAATGTCATGGACAGTTGTTGTTGCCTTAACCTCCCTGGCGGTCTGATTACGCAGGATTGTAGCATGCCAAAGCGGTACATTGCTTTTCATGGCAATTTGTTGTTTTATATTGTAGGCCTGTAATTCTCAGTAAATCTTAGGAATAACTCAGCTAAAACTGAGGATGGGAATGTGGGTGTTACCTTGGGTGGTCTGCATGCAAATGCAGTCTGCCATCAACCCATCTAGCTATTTTAATATTTGCACAACTCTCCCAAAGAGCTATCCCACTGCATGCATCAGGGCTGAGGCAGATGCTAAGATGTTTTCAGATATGTGCAGCACCCTGCATTGCATAGATAACCACAAAGACTTTTGACCCAGTGATTTCATCACTAGGTCTAAAGTAAGGTATTACTGGAAATGGAAAGGTTTTATTTAAACATTTTATTAGCATGTTAATGCGGCGGGGGGTAAAGGAGGAACCAAAAGAGGGAAAAACATAATCATATTAAACTTCAGTTCTAACAACTTATTTACATTGATTCTATAAGGGTATCGTTACAGGGAGTGAATTTTGCTACCTTCAGCTTTTAAGCATCAGAACCAGCTATGATGTTTTAGGAAGCTATGTACAGCACCCTGCATCCCTCCAACTAGTAAAGATCTGATGATGTCACTGAGTCTAGAGCAAGGTCTGTGATGAAAAGGTTTTCATTAGTATATTGATGAGGGGGAAAAGAAGACCAGGGAATGAAAAATATATGCAGGTTAAACTTCAGCTTTAAGTATTTTCTTCTTTGTATTCTAAGTTTTTAAAAAGGTTTATGACAGGGTACGTTGTACACAATTACATCTAGTTAATTATAAGGTGTGTATAGACTTCAGTTTATGAAGAGACAGTTTGCAATATTTGTAGAATAATGTAAAAGCAGGAAAGTAAAAATTCAAGAAGACCAATATAATTAAAAGGGAAACATTTTTTATTATGGGACCATATTAAAATTATATCCACTAAAGTGTGTTTGTTTTTACTTGGGCTCTGTGCGCTCTCAGCATGATCCTTCCTTTTTTTTTGTGTGCCAGCGTGATTGTCTGCCACTCTGCTACACACAAGCTGCCATTTTCCCTCTCCATAAAAGAGCTTTTTCTTATAACACAACCGATAAGGCCCCTCTAGCACACTGTGCCCTTTCAAAGGATCTATGCTAAGTACTAATGTTTGAAAAATGTTTCTTCTGTTTTTCAACTGGCAAGCCAAATGAAACAGACTGCCCATAAAATCTTGTGCAGGCAGATCATCAACAAAGCTGGTCTTACATACACAAAGCAGCAAAAATAACGAGAATTTTCTATTGCTGTATTTTTCCTCCATAATAAGCCAGAAAGTCTCTTTCACTAGTCAAAATCATTTCAGATACAGCGGAAAAAAAAAAAAAGCTGATGATTTACAAACAAATGCAGTCTGAGGCCTTCGTAGAGAGTATTTATATCTGCAGTTGGGCAAATTACTACATTAGAAATCACTTCCCTGCAGGGGGGTCTATTTCGCTCAATTCTTAAAAAAAAAAAAAAAAATGAAAATACAAACAAAATGTTTGTAAAATTAATACTGCATTTTTAAAAATTGTGCATACCAACTAGAAACAGAAACCAGCCAAACAATTGTAAAACTAAAAATTAGTATTCTCTCATCGCCGGGAGCTGATCATGCATTGTTTGTATGTTAAAAAAGAGATGCTCAGCACTTGAATAAAGAAAGGCAAAAAAAAAAAAGTGTATCCTGGCAACCACACTATGTCCTCTGAAGACATGAAGTTGGGCAAGAGAGGTTAAATCATCCTTACAAAAGCCCAGTTGTCTAGGCATCGCTAAACAACAGCCGCTTAGACATTAGTTTATTCTGAGTAAATTCTCAACCCATGTGAAGGCTCAATAGGTAAAGGTCACCAAGTAAACTGAAAAACATCCCCTAGTATTATGCAGTTGTTATGTCTGAAAAGAAGAGGTAAACAAGTTAACCACTTAAGCTCCCTGGGCATGTCTTGGATGCCCAGACAGTGAAAGGGTCTAAAGAAGATCACGGCTTTTAGGGTGTAGTGCTGACCAATCACTTTTATGGGACTCTCATGGCAGCAGACTCCATTCCCACCCCCTGCCAGACCCCCTCTGTCTGGTTCCTGGACCATCCCAATCCTCCAAGGGGGCATGGGACCACAACAAGCAGCGTCAGGATGGCGAGCAGGAGGAAACATTCATTGAATTCGAGGAACATCCATTTAAACGTGTGGGAAAAATAATTTAAATATTTTTTCTAAGGTGAAGTGGTTTACCAAGGCCTCCACCCAGCCTCCTTACTGTCAGTCTGCTTTTTAGACTTTGATGGGGAATTATATTGACTGATGTCCACAGTAGGGATGAAAAGACAAGCTCCCTGGGCATGACCCATTTTCCCAGGCTGTGAAAGTCTAAAAAAGATTTTGGGTTTTAGCCTGTAGAGCCAACCAATCACTCTTATGGCACTCTCATGGAAGCCAACTCCTCTCTCAGCATACCCAACCCCCCAAAAAAAAATGTTTGTGTGTTACGTGGTTAAACAAGGCCTCCACCCAGCTTGCTGTCAGTCTACTTTTTAGGCTTTGACGGGGAATTATCTTGACTGATGTCCACAGTGGGGATGAAAAGACAAGCTCTCTGGCCATTTCCCATTTTCCCAGGCTGTGAAAGGGTCTAAAGAAGCTTTCGGATTTTAGCCAGTAGAGCCAACCAATCACTTTTATGGGACTCTCATGGAAATAAAAATGCTTCTGTGTTACGTGGTTAAACAACACCTCCACTCAGCCTGCTTTTTAGGCTTTGATGGGGAATTCTCTTGACTGCGGATTAAAACAGACTGAAGAACTAGTTTTAAAATGGGAATGAGAACAGGCTGAGGGAAGAGTTCTATAATTAATATAGAATTTTTGGGGAACTAACCCTTTAAATAAAAACACCAAGACAGAAAATGGTGACAAACAGCAGAGCTGAATGCTGTGTATCACATGTTCATGAGGCGTCAAAATCTTTTTAATTGCGTGCACTGCTATAATTACATATAAACAAGCACAGTGTCTGCCAGAGCTTTGCAGACAAAACTAACTAGTGATTAAGTGTTCATTTCATCCAAATCAGTGAGAGGGACTTATCAGAAATCTACAAAACCTGTCATGAAAGTGTTCTGGAACAGGTGTTCTGTTGATGTGCACCAATAAAACCATACTCCGGCTCAATCTATTTCTACTTGGGTCTCCACCACTGACTGTCAAGTGCAAAGCTGAAACATAAGACTACCTGCAGACCACCATAATATCTGTAAAGCTTTTGTTGTTCAGGCAAATGGAAAAATCAGTGTGCATGCAAGATAACACAGATACTGTACTGAATTATTAACCCTGATCCTAAGCTGTTCTTAGTCACATATGCCCCTTACTTCCCCTATCTGTGAGTAACTATATTGCCTTCAAAGCTTCTGGACATCCTGGCCACCATTCTAATATTGACCCTGTATGACAAACAGTCTATCTCTTCAGCTAAACACTAATAAAACATTGGAGGTTTGTAATTCTGCAAAATAAAAGCCACTGTTAAAAGATGTTTGTATTAAGGTTATACAGTAATTGTGCATAGGAGCACCAACATGCTTAAAATAATATATTTTTTTATATATGCCATTTTTTACTGGCTACTAAACCACAATATTCAGGGCGTCAAAAATTACATCACAGCTCTAAGATCTTATTCTCCAAAAAAGATCAGTTGATGCTGAAATGCTGGTAAACTATCAAGTAAATGTAAAGTTAATTCCCTGCACTGCTGCTCTTTTTTGCAAATTAGATATAAACTATGCCCACGGCCCACCTGCTACCCACCCTTGATGTAGGCATATTTTATTTTAAAGTTAATTACACTATTGTCTCAATTGACACTTCACAGTGTTACACAGAGAGGTCACTGAGGGGGCCCCATGAAAATCCTGTGATGGGGCCCCTTGAATTGTAGTTATGCCCCTGGATGAAATCCAATCTTCAAGAAAAATTAGGCTGAGGTCAAAATCAGGAGAGGTCATTCTTCATCAATCTTATAGACACCCTACATTTCTAACTAGCATTATTTAAATCTGCTGGTAGTATTAAAGCAGGAATCAATTATATTATAAGATCCACCAGAAATGTTTTTAAAAATGTGCCGCAGTAATCCTAAAACAGTTTGGCTGATTATTTGATTCCCAGCAATACATTGTATATCAGTAGTAAAACATCCATTGCATGAAACTGTTTTGTTTTTTGTGGGGGGTGCGGTAACATGGCTTGTGTTAAAGGAGAACTATGACATGAGTGATTTCCACTCACCTCATAGTTCTAAGCCGACCTGTGACAATAAGACTGTCACAGGTCGGCTCAGTAGATGGGGAGGTGAGAGAACACATACCAGGTACCCTCACCTCTCGATCCTGTCACGGCTCCCTGCCGTGACAGGGGGAGGGGCTGGATTCCCCTCTCCCCGCTCCGATCTGCCAGCGCTGACTGGCGGAACGGACGGGGGAGGGGGCGGGTACAGCTGGCTCTGCCTCTAGATAGGCAGAGCCAGCTGTCACTCACGCAGCTGGGCGGATCCCGTCATCTAAGTCGGGATCCGCTCCAGGTGCGGCGTCTCAGTATACTGCGAGCTGTAGCTTGCGGTATACTGAGCTTAGGGTAACGGGAGGATGCTAGTTTGTGTCCTCCCGTTACCCCAAGGAGAACTATGGGGAAAAACACTGACCCCATAGTTCTCCTTTAAGGCAGGCCATTAATTTAAACTTATTGCCAACGCACAACAACGCAGCCAGAATTTCACATTTACTCCCAACTCAGTGCACCACAATGCATGGAAATGTACTACCATGTGTTGTGTTGCCCCACAATGCAGCTGCACTAAAAGTGCACCAGTTTAGTACATCGGAGTGCCATTACAATTGAATGTCACTGCAACGCATTGGTGTGAAGCTGGTCTAATGGTTAGTTTTACTTTTGAACAATAAGGTACTTCCGGGTGATTGCATGTAGTTTTAACTTTGATTCGAAGCACCCCAGCAACACTCCGTGAACTTAGTTATGCAAATGCGGACTTCAGCTTTGAATTCAGTGCTTTGGCAAGCCACCTCTAGCACTTCAATATTACCGGTAGTTAGTGAGGTTGCCATACCAGATAGACCAATAGACAGGTCATAGACGGACAGGTAAATGGGCTGACGTTTCTTGCTATGGTCACTATTTGCATAATAGGGTAGCATAGATATGGTTTACATATCTGGGAACTTTTTAAACCCTGTGATCCTAAGATTGAAATAAAATCATTGTAGCGCACTTAGCATGCTGTGCCTTATCATGGTACACTGGTAACACACTGGCAAATGTGGCAATACATGGGAAGCAAAGAGTCAACAAACAGGACAAGAGGTGAACAACAGGGAAAAAATGTGAGCAACACATATGGGTAACACACTGGAAAAATCTGGGCTCATAATGTGAGCAATAAATCGGGCACACATATTAACAAACAGGCAACCACAGCAATACTTGGGTAATAACCTGGCTTGAGATACTGCAGGGGACACTGGACAGTAAATCAGTATCATCTTTGGACAGTAAGCAGGAGATGACCTAGAAAGCAGTAAAACCATCCCAATAAAGAAATAATATACTACTATAGGTGGTAACAGAGTGATCTTACTGACCAGCAGATGTGTGTATCACAAGGGTGCCCGGACAAAATTACAGATACAGTTACCAGATATGTTTTTCAGCCAGATATTAAGTCATTTGCCTGGAGTTTCACTTTAACCACTTGCTAACATTGATTTCCTTTAAATAAGGTCATTCTAAATTGTTTAATAGAATGACAAAAATCACCTATGAAGGTTCTCCATTATGCAAATGAAGACAGCAAAGCATTCACATACATCTGTGCAGTGGCTAATTGAATAACATCTTGACTCACCTCTTTTGCCCTTTTGATTTTTGTCAGGAACATGTGCAGTTCCATGGTCTCTGCATATAGTGCCCGACATACTGCTTGGTAATGATTAGGTGCTTCTGATGGAGTTGGCAGATGAGAAGAACACAGCTGTTGAGAAGAAGAAAAAAAACACACGTGTCAATTCTTTCCACAATTCCCAAGATATTTGTGTTTCCATGAGAATAAAAACCTTTGTCATTTTACTTAATTTAATATGTCAAAACACTAAACACATACATGTACATCAAATCTACCCTATTATCTTTTTTTGTCATGTGGCGGCTCAGCAAGCCCCATATTAAACTAATAAGCATTTTTTAAAGTGGTATTAGAAGATGTTTTTTTGAATAAACCATTGCAGTAGGGCTGCAGGGGTTAAGTGCTCATTTGTGTAAAAAAAAAAAAAGTTAAGACTCACCTGAAGCTCCGAGCTGGGTTTTTCTATGTGACAGTTGGCCAGCTCAGAGCTTCTGGTGAGTATAACTTGGTTGCTTTAGCACCTAGACACAAACGAGCAGTAACCCTTACAGTGCGGAGTTCCTGGAGTTCTATTTTAAGTCAAAAATGTTTTTAAGCTTCTTCAAATGCTGATTAAATCACTTACGATACATGCTGCTCCTTGATGTTTAAAGGAGAATATCAGGAAAATAAATTTTATTAACCCTTGCAGTGGGGCTACCCGTGCACAGCAAGGGTTAAGTGCTCATTTGTGTCTAGGTGCTAAAAAAACAAACACATTTGTACTCACAGACTATCTGAGTCGGCTTGTTCTTAGACCGTTGTCTTCCCCTCTGCTGCAGCAGTCTATGGATCCTGGTGTCATCACGCTCTATACACTGTGCATAGATGTGATGACGCAGAGGAGCAGTCCATCTGTGCAGTGGAAGAGGAGATACACCTCAGTGATCACAGAAGCAGGGAGCCTGCTTGGATGGTCAGGTGAGAATACATTTTTTTTTAGCACCTAGACAAAAATGAAAACTTAACCCTTCCAGTGCAGGGGTAGTTCTGCTTTAAATGTTTTCGTTTTCTGCAGAAAACATGTGGTCCCTGAGCACTGGCCCCGATATCCTGTTTTAGGGCATCTCCTTTCCCTTGCAGGGTCCTTTGGAGCCACCCGTGTGTGTGCTAGTAAGCTGTGTATGTCTCCAGAAACACACAGGCAAGACAAGTCACTTCCCTGCTCCCTACTCCTCCTCCCTTCTTTCTCCAAGCTGGAAGATGGACAGCTGCTAGAGACTGCTCTGTGCACTGCGATTTTATACTGGACTAAAAATTTAGGGAAGTCGAGCACAGCGCGTTGGAGCCAGCTATGTAAAAACATGATGACTGTAATTACTTCGACAAAATATAAAGAAATACTTTGCTGGACAATGTATAAGAGAGAGTTTGAGAGTTAAAAAAAAACAAAAAACATTTCATTCTCTTAGCAAATCCCTATTGTTTTCCATGCAGAAGTTATTAAATACTTAACTGCTGTACACCTTTCCTTCTTATAAATCTAAATTGTGTTCTTTTCTTTTTCTCTGCCCTCCTTATAACACCCGATAAAACTATGGATGCCCTCTGTCCCCATTTGCCAAGGACAGTTCCCAGAAATGACCCAAGCGAGCAGGGGCTACTTTATGCCCAGTGGTCCTGGAAATATTTGGGGCGACAAGTGTCAGCTGGGGCTAGTCTCGGCAAAAGGGGAGTGGAGCAGAGTGTGCAAGGACCGCTGGCTTTATAACTTGGGCAGCTTGACTGTTGCTGTTTTCTCCGATCATAGATGAAGGTGGGTAAGTTACAAAATGTACTCATTGGGCTCAGTTTGTGGTTATAAAGTAGTACACTTTTTAAAAATCTCAACAAAAGCTTCTTTGTGTGAGATTTATAGGTAATTAAGGTTTGAATAAAGTGTATTGCTTTTTTACTAGTTCATTGTGCATACATCTTTGTTACATACTCATCACCTCTGCTCTGCGTTTTATGCATTCTTGCAGAGTAGCCTCAAGTTTTATTTATACATATCCCTTTAAGCTCTTCCCACTGTTAGCGCATTTTGGCCACACCCACCATTCACTATAGAGCCACTCACACATTAGCAGCAATTGTCGTAGGGCAGCTTTCCTATGCACTGCACCATGCACACGTGGCTACAAATCTGGGTGTATTTTTTTTTTTTTGTAGGCTGTGGTCAGTATGGTGTCCCCAGATTTTTATATTGCAAATCTGGTAACCTTACATAAAACCTAAAGTGATATTAACCACTTCAAGACCAGGTGTTTAGACCCCCTTCCTGGCCAGGCCATTTTTCAGTATTCAGCGCTGCGATACTTTGACTGACGTTTATTCCGTCATGCAATGCTGTACTGAAATTAATTTTACACCATTTTTTGGGGACAGATACAGCTTTTTTTGGGTGGTATTTAATCACCACTGGGGGTTTTATTTTTTATAATTAGGAAAAATTACTGAAAATTTTGAAAAAAAAAAACGTTTTTTTTTAACATTATGTTAGGAAACATTTATTATTACCCAGTTTTTTGGTCAAATATAAAAGATCGGGTCACCTCGGATAAATAGACACCAAACATGTCAAGCTTTAAAATTGCGCGCACCCGCGACATCGCAGAAAACGGCCGCAACCAAAATTAGCCATAGGCGACGGTTTAAACGTTTTTACCGCTCATCAGTTTAGTGTTATCAGTGATTGATGGCCCTAGACTTATTGCTCTCACTGCGACGTTCGCTGCGATATGTAACATGTGCGGCGTAATGGGCGCAATCGTCTTTTTTGCACGTATGCGCCCCCGACGCATGTTTGCATGCGTGTATGTATGGGTGGGGACTTTAAAAAAAAAAATTTTTTTTTTAAATTCTTTATTTGTTACTCAAAATTTTTTGGGGGGGGACTTTAATTTGTTTTCTCTTTTTTTCTTTTCACTAAACTTTATTGCTATCACATACTGGGGCTAATAAACCCCCCCTATGTGATAGCAAAATATGTGACAGGTCCTCTTTATGGAGACATCAGGGGTCTCCAAGACCCCTAATGTCACCTAGGACCCCCCAAAAGAAGCTGATGAAGCAGAGATCTGCTCCATCAGCTTCTTTGCAGCTTCTGAAGCTGGAGAGTGACACAAGAATGCGGAAGTGATGTATTATACAACACTTCCGCATTCTTTCAGAGGAGAGGGGACCGGAGGGAGCTCGTGTACCGAGCTCTCTCTGATCCCCTGTGTCACAGGCGACATGCTGATCCCGGGCTCGCACCGGGCACAGCGGAGCCCGGGATCAGCGGGACAATGGCGGGGTGGACAGCAGAGGGAGGGGGGGCCGCACCGATCGTCGCTAAATACAAGCGATCCGCCGGCTTTACAGCCGGCGGATCGCATGTATATTAACGGGCATCGCTGCCCGTTTTTAAATTGCGGCCATTTCCCGCTCGCGCGCGCCCGGCGGCGCGCGCAAGGGGGCGTGTCTGAGCGGACGTCTAAAGACGCCCGCTCAGATCTAGAGAGCTCCTGGCCGGCCGTTTTTTTACTACGGCCGGCCCGGAGGCAGTTAAAGTCATAAGGTTTTTAGGCCATTTCAAATGCTGATTAAATCACTTACAATGAATGCTGCTCCCTGATATTTAAGAGTTTTAGTTTTCTGTAGAATCAGCTGGTCCCCCTGAGCTCTGGCCCCAATATCCTGTTTTAGGGTGGCTCCTTTCCCTTGCAGGGTCCTACGGAGCCAACCTTGTGTGTGCTACTAAGCTGTGTGCGTTTCCACAAATATGCACACACAGCAAAGCAAGCCCCTTCCTTCCTCCCTGCTCCTCCTTCCTCCTTTCTCTCTTCTCCAGGCTAGTGGATGGACAGCTGCTGGAGAATGCTCTGTTCCTGGTGATTTTTTATTGGAATGGAAGTTCAGGAAAGCCAAGCAGAGAGAGTTGGAGCCAGCTGTTTGGAAACATGATAACTAAGTATTTGGACAAAAATATAAATAAATACTTTGCTGGGCAATATATATTTGTTTGATCTGAATTTATTAATTATTGAAAAGAAATTGAGCATTTAATACTATTTTAACAATAAAAGTCAAACAGAAGCTAGTGGTATTTCAGAGGAGAACTGTACTGAGTAACATACAGGGGCTGCCAGAGATGACATACTCTTTAAAATGCAAGTTGCCTAGCTGTGTCTAAAACTTTGGAGTAACTGACAAAGTAATCATACATGTCAGGAAAAAGATAGAACTTCTGCTTTGCATACTTCTTCCTGATCAGTGACTCAAGGTATTGAAGTGTAATCTAATGCAAATGTTACCAGCTGACTTTTTTTTACATTCACATATCACAAAATTGATAATACAATAAGAATGAATAGAGAAGTAAAACCGAATAAAAAAAATATGTAAAGAGATACTTTTCTATTTAAAATGTACAAACACACAGTGGCGACATATTGAAGGAGACAAATGGCCCCCTATAGCTCACTGCAATTGCCCACCAGCATACAGGAAAACAACATAATGCCAATCATCGGAATAGTCATGCACTTTTAGAATGGCTTAAATCATGCTGTTTTGGCTGATATTTGGAGAGTGATTAGTTTATATTCATTCATATCCCCTGGGTCAGAGGGCATCATTTCCATTCTGGGTCCACTTCTCTTTCATGTCATTAAGTATCAGGGCTTGGCAAGTAAGTGCAGAATTACCAGCAGTACCAGCTTCAATGAAACACAGACATCAAACAAGATTCAAGCTATGCTTGGCCAAGCTTAATCATTCACTTCAGCACAGTATTAAGTAAAGAAAGCCTACTAATGGCTCAGGAGAGGACTATTGCCACAGTGAGGATATGTAGTATGAACAGTTCACGCTGAGTGAGAAAGTAGGAAAAAGAGCCAAGGTCTGTAAAGGTTTTCTCAGAACATGAAAAACAGAAAGATGATTGATAGAACAATATAATGTTATTAGCAGAGTTATATGGACAGTACACATACTGACTTTTCAGCAATTCCAACCACTTAAATTGCAACTAAAGCCAAAACCTCTTATTTTTTTAGATTCGGATAGAGTGGAGAGGGATTAGAACACCTGTCAGGTTTTTATTACTGTTTGTGCTCCTGTTGGGG